TAATAATAAATATTTATTTATAATTAATAATAATAAATAACAATTAATATTAATTAGAATTATAATTGAAAAAAATGTCAATAAAATTTTAAAACGTTACTTTAACTAATATTTTAATAAGCTAGTTTATAAGTTAACTTATAAACTATTTTATGTCAATCCAAACATGTACTTAAAAAATAAGCTAATATATGTTTATCAAACAATGTCTTAACAAATTTATACGACGATGATGATACATGCGTGATGAAGAATCCTTTATACGTATAAAAGAAATGGATCTCTTGGGTCATATATATTCGTGATGAATATTCATTTCATAATCAAGAACCCGTTTGTTCTATGAAAATGCGAGAACAGTTGTGCGCCTGCAATCTTATTAACCAATAATTTAAATTATAATAAATAAAAACAAAGGTTAAGGGCAATAACGTAATTTATTTATTTTATAATTTTAAATGTTGTTTTAATTAATTGTAATTATCACATGATTATCGATCATAATTTGATCACGTCTCAATTGTTTACTAACAAAAAACATCAATAGAAACCTATTTCGTGATAACAATGTGATTCACAACCAATAGATACCTAATCGAAGTGTGTTATTGTGATAGCAATATGATAACCAATCAATATTTGATCTTACTGTGATACTTGTAATAACACTGTGATAATCCCACTGTAACGTTTGTGATAATAATGGTGTGATAGACAATCATCGAGTCCTGAACGAAATGTGTTAACCGTGACACATATAATCATCGACCCCTAATAGATGTGTTAACTGTGATAATCTTGTGATACACATAAGTTCATCTTACTGTTATACATAATCAGTAAGTGTTATCACATTGTGATAACTAATCCAACTGTGATTCTTGTGATAACAATCCCTCATCGAATTGTGATAATTATGTGGTACCAATGTGATATACATTCAATCGTCAAGCCCTAATCAATGTGTTACCTGTGATGATCGTGTGATACACATTCAATCGTCAATCCCTAATCAATATGTTATTCGTGATAATCATGCGATACACATTCACTCGTCCATGATCAATAACTGATCGCATGTTGTTGATATTGGACATTGTGATTATCGACCAAAATTTATTAATCGAACAAATTGTGTTAACTGAACACATATCGTCGGTTCAGATCCAATGAATTTAAGTGGATCCGATCCGATCCAATCATCCATTGGATGTTTGATTTTGTCATCCGATTCAATACGATTAACATTGGACATCTGCTCACGAAAGTATAGTTTTTAAAACGGTCTTCTGCAACGGTTAAAACTTAGAAGAAGTCTAAAAGCACACTTCATGCACCACTCGACTCACTATAAAACAAATGAGTTTTACTCACAAAAATCATCCATGGAAATTGACGGATCACCCAAAAAGTACAAATGCTTCCGGTGTAGTTGATGTTTTTCAAGAAAATATTAACGAATCACCCAGAAAATACCTGGGTAATAATCTGTTTCTGATTTGAATTACCCACCAGCTGGTTTCTGACGAATCACTCCTTTAGCAACAAATTTTCTCAAGAAACATCCGTAGGTAAAATTCTTTGAGTTGGTAGTAAAATTCTATAGAAGGTTAATAAATTATACGATGAAAGATGTAATTTTTTATTTAATTGGTTTGGAATCGAGGGTGTGTTTTTGAATTCCGATTATAATGGTAATAAAACCAACGATGATGAAAATGAAGAGTAAGAGGTTGAAAATGAATATAAGTAAAGGTTAACGAGGAAGTAAAAAGACAAAAATACCCTTAACCGAATTACAACCCATATGTTGTGCACGTGAATTGATTTCATAAAATTGTTTGGACATGGGTAAAATTGTGCGATAAGAATTCCCATCACTACTATGTGGTGTTCGATACTCTCGATGATGGTGACGGGGATATCGTCCAAAAACCGGAACTTTAATCATAGAAATTAAATCGATCACGAAAATGAAAAATAATTCATGAAATAATGAAACCGAAATCATTGATGGGTGAAACTTTCATATCCGTCATGCATGGATGAAGAACTCTATAAAATTTTCTAGAAAAAACTGAATGATTTTTACGACATAACCACTATTTCTCTTCAATTTATTCAAATAAATTGGTAACCAATACTCAAATAAAGTAACATAAATGAGCGATCAAATGAAAACCGTCTTCAYTTGTGTAAACCGTGCAAACCACCTTCATCCATCGATTTTATTGTTTAATCTTATGAAATTTTTTCATGAAATTGTTTAATCTTGTGAAATTATTTCATATAATACTTTTTTTGATGAAATTTGTTTCATATATGGTTGTGAAATTGTTTCATATAATACTTAATAAAATTTTAATGAAATTGTTTCATATATTTCTCTAAAATTAAAATAATGAAGATGATAATATCTATGATTAATACCCTCTACAATAAAAATGATTAATTAACCTCTCATAATTGTAAAAAAACTTAACAAAATGAAAAATTATGATTGAATGAATGAGGTTTGCACGGTTTGTACAAATTGAGTGGTTTGCATTTGATCGCATATATGGGTTGGGTTCACGTGAGACCAAGGGTTTTTCGTGAGACCCATAAGACCAATTTATGTTCATTGATCAACTTTATAAGTTAATGATCTAATGGTTTAAAGTTGCACGGTGACAATTTTGTGATTATTGAGAAGTCTCGTGACAATTTTGTGATTATGAATGTTCAAATTATAGATCTAATTCAAGGGTTAAAAATTGATCTTACGGGTCTCACAAAAAACCTTTGGTCTCACATGATCCCAAGTCTATATATATATATATATATATATATATATCATTTCCATTTTTATATTCTACAACACTTGATAGATCCATTGACTTTGATCTTCATAATTAATTTTAATATATTGACTTGTAGGAATAGACAGGACGTTTCAATCTTTTTAAAGACCTTGTTATATTCAAAACTTTTGATTACCCTGTATAAATGAGATAACAGATAATATATGTTAAGAACAAAAATGAGCTAAACCTAAAACGAATAACAATCTGAAACTGAACGTAAACCATTAATGATTTGATCTTAAAACCAAACAACTAACGGTTTGAACCTAAATAACTTCGGCTATAATTTTACACAAGTCTTTTAACACATGTAAATTTGGGACCCATAATTTTGAGAGCCTCTTCAAAATCTCACATTTAACATGTTAAAGGACGGTCATGAAAATCGATGACCTTAATATGATGTTAGGATTAACGAAATTAAGAATTCCCTGCACTAGTCTTCCTTAATTTTTTCAACCACCTTCTTTTCTAATAATTTGTGAAGACCAAAAGGACCAATGAAGAAACGCTGACTTTATCTATGGATGATGGATCTATATATATATATATATATATATATGATATCTGATCCAAATTTCACACTCATCCATGCATTTTGAAATGGGGAAGTTAGTTGTATCAACTGCTGCATCTTGCTTTGTTTTTCTTCTTTTCTTGTCATCTGGGAAAGCTGCTGGTCGTGTGCATTATGATAATAATAATGATCAGTTGCTGCTCTCAGATGGTACTGTGAGTGATCATGGAGATGGACATGACTCCTTTCTGCATGATCATCTCAAACGAATGGAATCGGAAACGGAAGGGAATTCATGCCATCAAATGTTTGGGGTTTTACCATGTTCAACAACTGTCGTAGGTACCATGTTTCTTGTTGCAGTATACGACTACTTGTTGTATCTTGGAGAATCCCTTGTTAGTCATGATGCAAGAGATCTTCTCCTTGGCAATGGCTTCTGCAGTGCAGTTTTCTTCCAGCTTCTTGATTCTTCACCTGAACCTCTTGTTCTTGCTGGTATACACACAT